TAGGTAGTATCTTTTGGAAAAGTCATCATTTAACGTATACCTTAGCAAAATGCCAAGCAGTTACAATGCATGGATTGTGTATTATTTTTTGGGGTAAGAAAATTCCACCCCAATTTTCCCTTTGTGTGTAGGTAAAGGTTTACAGATCAATAATCTTGAATTCAGCATGAAATTACATTCTCTTTGCTTGAGTTCCTCTGAGGTATGCACAAGGCTTCCTGTTCTGAATCTACTCTATTTTTTTCTCCCCTGCTATGATTTCAATACATGCTGAAGAAAAGTACAATTATGAAAACCCTTGGTTCTGAATTTAATTCTGACAAAATGCTGATGTCAGAGAAAGGTTAAGATATGCATTAGACGATGATAGAAAACATAGGTCTGTCTTTAGAGATAATTTTTTTTTCTTCTTTTGTATGTAGAAGTTAAGTGGAGTCCTGGCGTGGCGCTGCACGATATTGCACTGGACCACAAGGTCAATTTGAACCACAAGGTTGGCGGTTCAAACCCACCAGTCGCTCCTTGGAAACCCTGTACAGGGTCTATGTGTCAGAACCAACTTGATGGAACTTAAACAACAGTAGCATAAGATAAGGTAGTTTTGTAAACTCATCTGGTAACACTTTATATGAGAGAACTTCAAAAATTCCAGTATCTTTTAATCTCATTTTGCCATGAATTTTTTGAAGCCCCTTCATATAAGGGTGTTGACTAGAAAACTTCCATTAGTAGAACCAAAGAGATTACCAAATTTTAACAAATGGGAAGACTACTTTCCACATTAAGATAACCATTTATATCACACAAGGTTTTTCTTCCATTTGATAATAACTTGGTAAACTCAAGCAAGGGTTTTCAAGTCAGAAAAAAACTGATGCAACTAATTTTAGTTTCATTCCAAATCATACGTATTGAGTACCTATAATATGCAAAGTATAGTATTGTACCATCAAAGAGTTCAAATTCACCCTAAAATTCTTCAGAGTTCTCAGCTACACCTAATTAATCATCCACAGCGTAGTGTTTACAAATAGGGCTGCTAATCTCACAGTCAGCAGTTTGAAACTACTAGCTGTTCTCCAGGAGAAAGATGAGGCTTTCTGCTCCTGTAAAGATTTACAGTCTCGGAAACCCTGTACAGTGTTGCTAATCAGAACTGACTCCACGGCACATAACAACAACAGCAACATTGCATTTTGGGAGTCCTGGTATGGTGCTGTAGTATAAGCATTTGATCATAAGGTCCATTTGAACCACAAGGTTGGTGGTTCAAACTCACCAGCCACTCCTCGGAAACCCTATACAGGGTCAGGACTAACTTGATGATACTTAACAACAATTGTATTTTGAGGAGTCCTGGTGTGGTGCTTTTTGAAAAGCACAGGATGCTAACCAAAAGGTCTGTGGTTCAAACCCACTAGCCACTCCCTGGAAACTATACAGAGTTGTGGTGAATCGGAACAGACTCACTCAACAGCACTTAACAACACTGCATTTTGACTGTGGCTTGGTTTGTGAAGTTTCCCATTCTACCTTCTTCATCCTTTCTCAGTGAACCTCCAAATTGTGTCAATTATTTTACTGTCGCCATTGGGCAAAGTCCTGTTGTGGTGCGGCAGGATAATGCACTAGACCACAGGGTCAGTTTGAACTGCAAGATTGGCAGTTCAAACTCACCGGCCACTCCTCGGAAACCCTATGAGGTTGCTATGAGACTGAACTGACTGGAAGGCACTTAACAACAATGGGGTAAAGTAAAGCAGGAGGTTGAATAATTCTGAATATTTGATGATTCCTTTTGAAAATAGTTGTCTATTGTCGCACATACCCTATTTTACCGTAGAAGCATAGTGTTAAGAGTGAACTGGTAAATTCATGAAAGACACTACTGTCCCATAGGGTTTCCAAGGCAGTAATATAATACTTAAAGTACCATGGACTGCCAGAAGGGCAAATAAATGTCTTAGAGGAAGTATAGCTAGAATGTTCTTAGAAGCCAGGATGTGAGACTTTGTCTCGATTACTTCAGGCATGTTATCAAGAGGGACCAGTCCCTGGAGAAAGGCATAATGCTTCGTAGAGTAGAGGGTACGTGAGATGGATTGACACTGTGGCAGCAACAATGGGGTCCACTGTAATGACTGACCGTGAAGCTGGCACAGGACCCGGCGCGGTTTCACTTTGTTGTGCATAGGGCATAGGGTTGCTATTAGTTCGAACCAACTTGATGGCACCTAACAACAATCTTTATGGAAGCAGACTGCCATATCTTTCTTCAACAGAGCTCCTTTACACAAATATTACCCTCAGATAGGGAGTGTAGTGGCTCCTTAGGGTAAGCACTGGACTACAAACTACTAGGTTGGCAGTTTGAGCCCATCAGTCACTTCTCAGGAGAAATATGAGGCTGTCTGTTCCCTAAAACATTTATACACCTCAGAAACCCTATACAGTGTTGCTGTCATCGGAACCCACTTGCAGGCACTTAATAATAACCCCTAAATAATTTTCTGTTAAGTCCCCTCCAGGTGGTTCTGACTCATAGCAACCCTGTATAGGGTTTCTAAAGAGTGCCTGGTGGTTTGAACCACCTTATTCTAGAGGATTCCCTAGATAATTCAGATGGACAAATTTTGTCTCAAAGGATACCATTTATTTATTTAACACAAACTTTCTTAACACTTATGGTAGAATAATATATTCAAGGTTAGACGATTTGACCTAATATGAGGAGGCAAACTGCGGAGGTCTTTGATCATTTAATGCCTCTCTTCCTCAAATTATAGTTGTGTAAGAGGTAAAGTGAAAGTTGTCTTTCTCCTGCAGCAATCCCCTTTCCTTCTTATTCCATATTTATTCATTTAACAATTTGAAATATAAATCCGAGGCCTTAACTCCTCCACAATACTTACTTTTACTTGATCCACATTTTGTTTCACTTTCATTTTAGGGAGCAAGGTATGTTTTAAACATTTTTTAAAAAGGCCTTATGAATGACCTTAAGAATAATTTTTCTTTCTTACAACGCATCAGGAAGTGTGCTTTACTGTTAATAGTCGGGGTGGAGGGAAGGACTCAGGTTCTGATGAACTCTACGGGCTTCATCCGTAATGTAATTTATCTTTTCAACTAATATGAGAATGAGACAAGCCTAACTTTTACGCTGAACATCACGAAAGGAAAAGAAAAACCTCAGGGATCTACACGCAGAATTAACCCTGCCTCCACACTATGCTTGGAGCAGCTGTCTCTGGAATCCTCCTTTCCTAGAATGTGGGAGAGGTTTGGTGGGGCAGCAGCTGCAAGGCAAGGAATCTTCTCTTTTCTCCTTGACGCGGACTCTTCCCCTCCCCTTCCGAATGGTGACAGCTGCTGGGGCATCCCAGTGGAAATCTCTTTCCACTCTTAGCCAAGCGCGGTAGGTGGGCGGGGGGCAGCAGCTGAAAGCAATCAGAGGTAGGAACTCTTGGCTCTTCTTAGGGAGAGCAGTCTCACTGGTTCCCCCTTTGCCATCTCCCTGGCTCGTAGCGGTCCCCCAGGTGTCCTTCTCCAAGTCCAAGAAGACACCTTGGCAACGTGGGACGGCTTTCCTCCGCGGTAACTTAACAACAGAATCAGGATCCTCACCTTAGCACTTGCCAAAGTACCTTCCCAGGTTGTAGAGGAGGGGAAGACGGAAGGAAGGGACAGCCCCGGGAAGGAAAGATCTCTTGTCGCCTGGTCCACCATACACCTGGTGCTACCTGAGCAGCTCCCCCGCCCGCCCGGGTGCGCAGCCTAAGGCGCCCAAACTCCTCAACCCTTGCCAGGTCCCCTAGGCCGCCCGCGCAGCCACCCCCGCCTTCGCGCCCGCCCCACCGCCCCGCGCGCTCGCGCACGCGCACGCCGCGCCGGCAGCCCTCGGCGCTGTCATGGCGGCCGGGAGCAGCTTCCTTGAGCACAGGGACAGCACAGCGAGACGTGGTGGGGCGAGCTGTGGCAGTAGCATCCTCTCAACCAGCAGCAGCCTCTGTAACGGCGTCCGTAGAGCCAGCAGCGGCTGTGCTTGCAAAGATTGAGCGCAGGGGTGGGGTGGGCCAGGAAGCCATGGAGTTCTGTGCAGCCGCGGACTCCCGGGCAGCAGACTAGGGAAACTTGGAGGCTGCGACCAGGTGCACTGACCTCCCTCTCCTCCCTCCTCTTCCCGCCGTCGCTACCGGGCCTCGCCGGCCGCCTCCCTGCCCCTCCTCCCACAGCACACACCTCCCGTCCCCTCCCGCTCGGACCTCAGGTGTCTGGAGAGCGGTGCTCCACTCCTCCCCTTGGGCCGCGCGTTGAGCACACTCTCCGCCCCCTTCCCCCGCCTTTTCCTGCCTTGGATCACCGCCGCCACCTCCGTCTCGTTGCTCCCTGGCGGGGGTGAGGACGAGTCCGGTGTCTCTGGGTGAGGCGGAACTTTCTACCTGCTGTGGTGGCTTGGGGGCTCCTTCCTCTCCCCATTCCCTCGTCTTTCCCTCGACAGTTTCTCTTTCCGTGCACCTGTGATGAGAGGTCGCCCTGCGCCTAGAACCTGCGAGAGCGTGGGGGAGGAGTGAACCTGTTCAGGGGCCTCTGGAACCCGCCTTCACCCAGAACCCAGCTCCTTGAGCCTGGGAGAAGTGGATAGCGAGTGTGGGGTTCCTTTAGTAACTTATCTGACCCACAATAACTATTTTCCCTTTCCCTCCCTAAAAACAAAAACAAAAAAAACCCTAAAACAAAACGTAGCCTATTTAACATATATCTAATCTTCCAATAGGGTTTGGCGTTGTTGTCAGCCTCGGGGAGAGAGATTGGACAAATATTCTCCAAGAGGAGGAGGGCGACACCAAGGACTTTCTACATCAACTGCTCTTGGGGTTTCTCTACAAGTTGGAAGACAGAGACCCTTTTCGTTTTGTGTTGCGTGTGTTGTGCTAATTACTAGTGCAGCGACTGCTGTTCCGGGGCGATTCCGAGGTGTCCTTTTCCGTGAACTAGCAATGGCTAGTGAAGATAACCATGTCCCTTCCCCGCCACCAACAGGTGATGATGGGGGAGGTGAAGGAAAAGGAGAAGAAACCCCTAATGAAGGGGGTGCTTTGTCTCTGAAGCCTGGGATCCCCATCAGAGGCATCAGAATGAAATTTGCTGTGCTGACGGGTTTGGTAGAAGTTGGAGAAGTATCCAACAGGGATATTGTAGAAACTGTCTTTAATCTGGTAAGTGGAGATATACATTTATAAGCATATACTCTTTTCAGTGGGTTGAAGAACGAGAAGTTAAAGCTTCTTGATGGGTGGTTGACGATGGGTTTTCTATGGATAGAAACACAAAATTCTGACGTAAATGAACCAACTTCTTGTATTTTTCAGTTTTGTAGGAATTACACAAATTTAGATGCTCCAAGTTTTCTGAAAGTGAAAAATTACTTTTTTGCTAAGGAAATAACTGCTGCTATGAAAAGTTTTTGGGGCGTACCACTGGATGAGTTATCTGCAAAAAGTTTTTTCCTTTCCTTTAGGATGTATATTTATGTCTGAATTTATTTTTTTAACATTTGAAATAAGTTCTTGTGACTTTTTTGGGGAACTTGAGAAATAATGGAAATGCATAGACCTATTTACTCCTTTGGGACAAAGTTGTATTAAAGTGACTTTGCCAGGATAAGTTTTAAAAACAAAATTTGTGTTCTTAGGAACAGATGAAAGATTAATTTGTTACAAAGTTAATGTTTTTAAAGATTATCTTTACAGTAGTCTTGTGAAATTGAATGGCAATTTACAAAAAGAGTTGTGGCAGAGCATATAGTCTGTTTCCTTTGTAAATTCATGCCTAACATTAAAGCATTGTTCCTCATTGGAAGTTGAGGTTATACTACAATAAACTTTGTTTCTTTAAAACAGTGGATACAAAACAATTTCCTTTATTCCCTATTCCATTCCTACAAATAGCTGTTATTTCTAATGAAGGGCTTTTAGATTTTTTTTTTTGTTCCAATTTCTATTGCCCACCAACCTAATGTTTTCAAGGTTAGGCTTAGTTTATTCCAAGGCAGTTAATTAAGTCCTTCCCTATACCTTTAATAATTGTCAGCTTACCTATAAAGCAGTGGTGGTGGTGGTGGTTGCCACTCATAGTGACCCTGTATAGGGTTTCTGAGGCTGTAAATCTTTACAGGAGCAGAAAGCGTTATCTTTCTCACGTGGAACAGCTGATAGTTTAGAACTGCTGACTCTGAGATTAGCAGCCCGATTCGTAACCACTATGCTACTAGAGCTCCTTTCTAGAAAGAAGTAGCTCACTTATTTTTAGACTGAAAAGTTGGAACAAATTGGGCATTTTTCTACCAATTCATTGTGTTGGAAGTTGAGCCTTGGTAGTAGTGGGTTAAATGTTGGGCAGTAAACCACACAGTACGCAGTTTGAATCCACCAGCTGCTTCTCAAGGAAAGATGAGACTTTATGATCCTGTAATGATTTACATCCTCAGAAACCTTATACAGGCTTGCTATGAGTCGGTGCTGACTTGATGGTACACAACCACCACCACTACTACCATTAGACACATACATATACATTGTATTTTTAACTTTATTTTATGTTGTTGTTGTTAAGTACTGTTGAGTCGGTTCCGACCCATAGCGGCCCTGTATAGGGTTTCTGAGGAGCTGCTGGTGAGCTTGAACTGTCGACCTTGCAGTTCAAACCAACTTTGCAGTTCAGCACATTAGCCCATAGTGCTTCACCAGGACTCCATACAGGGTCGCTATGAGTGAGTTGGTGCTGACTTGATGCCACACAACTACCACCACCACCACAACCACCACCACCATATCCACATATACATTTATGTTTTTAACTTTATAGTATGGAAGTGTTCAAATATACGTGGAAATAGAATAGTGTGATAAACTCTGGTGTTCATCACACAGCTTCACCAGTTTTCAACATTTTGGGGATTTTGTGTGGGGAGATTTAAAAAGTTCATTAATCTCAAGGAGATAAAGCTGATGCATTCTTTTACCTTAAAATAGAGAGGAACTTGCAAACTTTCCTTTCTGATTTTTGTTCAGTTTTTTTGTGACTGTCATGTAACTTGGATGATAAACAGGAGATGTGTGATAGTAATGTTGTTGTTAAGTACCAATGAGTCTTAATGGCTTAGACCTACAGCTACCCTGTATAAGATTTCCAACGAGAGGCTGATGGGTTTGAACCACCAACCTTACAATTAGCAGTCCAGTTCTTAAGACACAACATTGCTTTGACAGAGGATGACTTAAGTACTTAATGCTAACCACAAGGTTGGTGGTTAGAACCGGATACAACAATAGTAAGATTAAGAGCTCAGTTGCTAGCCAAAAGGTTGGGGGGTCTCAGTCCACCCAGAGGCACATGGGAAGAAAGGTTTGGTGATCTGCTTCTGGAGAATCAGCCACTGAAAAACCTGTGGAGCACACACAGTTCTACTCTGACACACATGGGCTTGCCATGGGTTGGCATTGACTCTGACACAGTTGATTTGGTTTGGTTTATCATTCTGTTTGAGGTAGATGTCCAAAGATTGAGTCACTTGTGTTTTTATCATTAAGGAAAATTCTGAGTAGTAATTTGCTAATATGCTGTCTAGATTTACCACCCTGATAGAGATTTTAAGGTCATTTCTATGTCCTTCACAGCGACTGCTTTGAAAGGTCATGCATGTCATTTGTCATTGTTCTCTTCACATGTAGGGAAGGGAAAGTTGCACAGAAAAGTATATTGCAGGTACTTTCATTCTATGAGTATCTCCCTTATATTTCCATGCTCTTTTGACAATATCTAAGGTCTTGACAAGTCTTAAGAAAATCATGGCAACTGAACTGTTTTTAGAACTGCTGCACCTAAATATTTTGTGGTTGATACTTCTCAATCTTAGTCTGAATTTTACTTAATGGAGAAAATGACATTAATTATATACATGGCTTTAAAAAGTTACACACTAGGTAGTTAGCAACTTTCTCTCTGTGCCTAAAACCAGTTGCTGTGGAGTTGATTTCAACTCATTGACCACTGCAGGGTTTTTTTTTTTGTGGTTGTGTTATTTTGGAAGTAGATTGCTAGGTTTTTCTTCCAAGATGTTTCTTAATGGGGTCAAATCACCAGCCTTTCAGGTATTAAGTTGGAGCATTAATTGTTTGCATTACTCATGGACTTCCTCTTTGTGTGTGTGTGTGTGTGTGTGTATCTCTGTACATCCCATTGTATAGATGGGGAAATTGAGGCACTGCAAGGTTAAATAGATTGCCTACAATTTGATGTTTCTTAGAACTGCAGTCTTTTCAGGAACACCTGTGTTTCATGATTTTACGTAGCGTTGTTCGCTTCCTTGAGCAGTTATTTGCAGCTTAGGCATCATTTTCTCTAGTGTGAAGACACAAAAATCATAGATCCTGTTAAATGTTAATGGTGAAATCTCTAGTAATAGTCTGTTTTTTCTTATTTAACCTAAAAAGTTTCTTAAAAAACAAAAAAAACAGCTTTAGAAGTAAAACAAAACAAAACAAAACTTTTTTTTTCAGGTGAGGCAGTTGTGTGTGTGGGGATTTTTTTTTTTTTTTTCTACTCAGATTGCAGATGTAGAAAGTTGATTATTAACTTTTTATTACAGTAAGTGCATTGGATTAAAACTTCTAAAATTGTGAAAAATAGGATATAAACTAAAGAATATGTAACATTGTAAATAATGAAGCATTATAACAATACAAGTCCCTTGAGCATTCCATTTAACTTACAGAACCAAGATGTTACTTACGTCACTATATCTTCATGTGTACTTTCTTACCCTCCTATCTCGACTGGATATTTCATTTAAGCTGTATTTATAGCTGCTTTAACCTTTTCCTTTTCTTTAGGGATGTTATTAAAGCAAAATAAATATATATATTTTTATTGCCCTTATGTTAGCTATATAGGTAATCTACTTTAGAAATAAGTTTTGATTAATAATACGTTGTATATTCAGGTGTTTCAAACTTATGGTCAGCTTTAGCATACATATTTCCTGGTGTAATTTAAGGCCATTCTCTTTTGTTCTCATCTGTATGCTCAATTAATTTGTCAAACGCTTGTACCAAGAGTAATTAATGTATTGGCATCATTTCAGAAATTTATTGCTGTACTAAAGGCTTCTACCCCAGGTATTTAAAGGTATTCAGGTAGGTGGTTCAAACTCACCAGCTGCTCCTTGGAAACCCTACACAGGGTCGCTGTGAGTCGGAACCAACTTGATGGGACTTGTCAACAACACAGCAAGAATAGTATTTCCCGTGGATTGGTGACAAATATATGATTTCATGATTGTTTTTGTTTGTTGGGATAAAAAATTATTATGCGGTGCTGCAGGATAATGTGCTGGACTGCAAGGTCAGGTTGAGCCTCAAGGTCGGAAGTTCAAACCCACCAGTCACTCCTCAGAAACCCTATACAGGGTTGCTATGAGTCAGAACTGACTTGATGGCACTTAACCACAAGATTAAGTGTTAAATGCTTTAAATTAAAGTATTAAAGCTTAAAATATGGAGTATAATTTTTCATTGCTAATTGTATGATATTTGACATATGTCCTGCTAAATATTAGTGGTGCAGAATCTCATACCTACAGGAATTGAGTTGTTGTTGTTGTTATGTGCCATGGAGTTGGTTCTGACTCATAGCGACCCTGTACAGGGTTTCCGAGGCTGGAAATCTTTAAGGGAGCAGAAAGCCTCGTCTTTCTCCCACGAAACAGCTGGTAGTTTCGAACTGCTGACCTTGCGGCTCACAGCCCGATTCGTAACCACTACGTTACCAGAGCTCCTTGAGTAGATGACACAAAAGCTCTGCTTGTGTTGAGTATGGGCAGAATATGTACTTGTAGAGTGTGTAGCTGCTACTGTGTTCAAACTATTGTCCTGCCCCAATGGCGTCATACCTTCTGATTTTTCAAGAAGAACTGAAAATTTAGATTCAAAAAAGAGAAAACTTTAAAAGTCAAAGTAAAATATTTTAAAATACCATGTGACCATATATAATTGCAGGTGGCTGCTACTTTTCAAGTTCTGATATGATCCTTTTTTTTTTTTTTAAAGATCATCATTCAAACATGTTTTTACTCTGATGTATCTCTCTAGAACTAATTCCTCCTTAATACTTGCCATCATAAATTTAATTCAGTGTTAAGATAATTCATTCTTGAAAC